GTGTAATATAAATTGAATTGAATTCTGCCCTCATATATAACAAATTAGAATAAATAAATTAAATAATTTTTTTTAAAAAGGGAGGCCAATGAGTTGGCACTAAATATGACAACCAAAAGGGAATCACTGAGACTTTTGAGCAGAAGAGGTTCTAGGGCCTAGACTTCAGCCTAGTCTGGAGGTTGGAGCACACTGTGTTGGAGCCAGGAGTGAATGACCAGGGAAATTATAAAAAGGCTATTTTCATATCTATTTTTTCCTTCTTGGTCTTTTCCCTCTTTCCTCCATAGTTCTCATGTCTGATGCTTCAATATTGGTCCCCTTTGCTATTACATTTCCCACCTTCATGTTTTGGATGTTTCCCTCCTAAATGTATAAACACATCTATCTCTTCATTTGGGAAAGAACAACATTTCTTCAACACTCAGCCACCTTCAAGTTATTATTGTATCTTTAATCATTTCCTTTCATGGCAGTTCCATAGAAAGTGGAACATACTTTCCATCTATACTTCTTTGTCATTTGTTCCTTTGTCAGCCTATAATCATCAGATTTCTGACATCAGTTCTTCAATATTTTATTTGAAAAAAAAATAAGCTCTCAGTTTGAGAATAAAACCTGACATTTTTCAAGAGGATTTGATATATGTGTAATATGAATTGTAATGCATTCTGCTGTCATATACAACAACTTTWAAAAAAGAGGATTTGAATTATAGTGCACCCTGGCTCCATGATACCACCAGAGAGAGCAGCCAGCCCAGGTTCCACTCAAGATGGCCAACAGCTTTGTCCCCTTCTCCCAAGTAGGTTCCTGTCTCTTCCAGGCCCACATTACACCTGGCTGCAACAATGAATATGATCCTAACTAAATATTCTGCACTACAACTTTGTGTTTTCAGCTTTCTCTAAGCTACTTCCAGAAGTACTGTGAACCTGATCTCTGCTTACATGGTTTACCTTGGCCACCATCTGAAGTCCAATCCTCCAAAACCATCTGTTTTCACATGGTCACTCATCTCCATACTGCTGTACATATTTTACCCTGACTCCATCTTTTATTCCATTCTCCAACTTCTCAAGCTTTCTACTTAGTGTTTCTTCTGGACTCAAGATCTGTCATCAGAAAGATTACCATCCTCTACTTCTTTGAAGTTTCTCTTAATTTTCTTGTTCTAATGGACACTTGGCTAATCCCTCTGATCTCTGTTTCCTTTGCAGTCATCCCTAAGCAAGAGTTATTTTTCTTCTCATGGAATAGAATAGATATACAACTTATTACCTCTTGATGCTTCCAAATTGTTTCTTTCCCCTCTTCTTTAAAAAGCTACATTTCCTTAGAAGAGCATATCATAAGTCCATTCATTATAACCGTACTTGGCACCTTCTCACTTTCCTGTAACTCCTCTTTCACTCAAGATKTTAACACCTGTATTATTGTCTTTATTTCTTCCCTATTTCTGCCATTGTGTGTGAGAAGTTCAACATAACACTGTAACGTAGGTCTCCATTGTGGCCTCTTATTGTTTACATGAGCACTCTTGCTAATGTCATCTTCTCTCAGACTTTATTTACTATTGATGGGCTGATGACTTCCATACCTGTTTCTGAACTTTAGACATCTCTTCTGAACTCCAGACCCATGTATCCAATTGGTGATTTCTACAAGGATGTTTCATGGAATTTCAAACTCAAAACCTTAACTCATTATTTTCTCACAGTCCTATTTCTTTTTCTGTTTTAAAAATATTGTTGTATAGAATTAATATCTACTCATTAACCCAAGCCAGAATTTTGAGGGCATTCCAGATTCCTCTGAACCTCTTAGTGGCCACATACTTCCAATTACCTCCTCCCTAAACTGCACCTGTTATTCATTCATAAGTCCAGAGCTTCTCTGATTTAATCTCTACAGAGAGTAAAATTTGTAGTTAAAAGTGCAAGTTCTAGAGTAAGTATGCTAGGGTTCACACCCATAACTTTGTAGTTGTTGACAAGTTTCTTAAGATTTTTGTATCCTAATTTTCTCATCTGTAAAATGGGTATATGATAATATTGCTTACTTCATAAAATTGTTGAGAGAATCCAATGAGTTATGATAGGTAAGATGCCTGGAACATAGTTAAATACTCAATAACTTTCAGTGATATTGATGACATAAACAATAATGATGTCTGAATGATGTAAGAAGGGATAACCACCTGACTCATAAATTTAGGAAAGAGATTTGGAGGTTATCAACAGTTTCTAAACTAGACTTTCAACAACCAGTCCTTCTTTTCTCAACCCCACTCTATGCCCCTGACTTTGAAGGAATGCAGTGTCTCCAGTTTTGAAAATTTTCTAAGTTTTATTTTAATATTTATTTTTTAGTTTTAAGTGGACACAATATCTTTATTTTACTCCTATGTGGTGCTGAGGCTCGAACCCAATGCCTCATCCATGCCAGGCGAGCACGCTACAACTTGAGCCACATCCCCAGCCCAAGACTTTCTAAGTTTTTAGGGGCAAATTAGTGTGCTTCTCACAAGCTTTTCTTCTGTGGCCACTTTTTTATCCTCTACACCTGCAATATCCAATATGGTGGCCAATGAATCACACATGGCTACTGTGCCATTGAAATGTGACAGTGTTACACATTTTGAAATACTATTTTAGATCCATTGGTTTAAATTCAACTATGTTAAAATGAATTTTGCCTGCTAATTTTAACTTTTTTTAAAATGTGGCTACTAGAATTTTTTATTGATTTTTACTATTTTTTTAAAATACACGACAACAGTGGAATGCATTACAATCCTTATTACACATATAGAGCACAATTTTCGTATCTCTGTATATAAAGTATGTTCATGTAAATTTATGCCATTATACATGTACTTTTTTGCATTATAATTCTTAATACACATATATACCACAATATTTCATATCTCTATTTGTATATAAGATATGTTGACAATTCAAGTCTTCAACATGTTCTTTGTATGATGACCATCACATTCCACCATCCTTGCTAATCCCCTTCCCCCTCCCTTTCCTCCCACCCCTCTTCCCTATCTAGAATTAATCTAATCCTCCCATGCTCTCCCTCCCTAACCAACTATGAGTCACTCCCCTTATATCAGAGAAAACATTTGGCATTTGTTTTTTGGGGTATTGACTGACTTCATTTAGCATTATCTTCTCCAACACCATCCATTTATCTACTAATGCCATGATTTTGTTATTTTTTTAATGCCGAGAGTAATATTCCATTGTGTATAAATGCCATATAATTACATGTTTCTAACATAATTACTATGTTTCTATTATACAGTCTTGCTGTGCATTTTACATAATTTTGACAAATCTCATCAGCTGTCATGTTTTCTATCTTGTGGTTATACACTATGTCTTTACTTTTCACTTTTGAGAAGTGTCTTGGGCAAGYGAAGATAAATTCAAGTGCCAGATCTGACATGGTTAACTGGAAGTTCTAGCTAAGCTTTTTAGAACATAGTTCCTACTAAAGTGTTTTCACTCTGTGTCCTGTCACCAACTATATGGTCCAGCCAAAATAAATTATTGATGATTTCCTGAACAAAATAGGAATCTTGGAGCTTTCATATATTAGCTTTGAGTCATTTTCTAATACCCTTCTAATTCCTCTCATCTGTCTATTAAATAACTAAAAATTTCACCATTTTTAAGAGATTTCCTTGACCTGTCCTCCTTCCAGTTGAGCTGACTGCCCCAGAGTCCAGAATATTTCCCGAATTTTCTGGTTTAGATATCCATCTCTTCCACAAGGAACCCATTTTATTCATCAGTAGTGCCAGATTCAGGGTTTGGTACATAATTAAACACTAAAAGACTGTTAAACAAATGAATAAAGACAATAAGAAATAAGGAAGGTTTTGTAGTGAATGAAGAGGATGACTGGAAAAGTTTCATGAAATTAGTTGTTTTAATCTGTTTCTTCAGAGGTTTTTGACAGGTAGGGATGACATGAGGAATTTTCCAGGCAGAAGCAAGAGCATGAGCAAAAGTTCTCTGGAAATAAAAAATATGCTAAGTAGCAAATCACCCAGTTTGGATGGAGCATTGATAAAACAGGATCACGCAGGGCCTTGAGGTCATTTAACTGTAGTTCTGATGATATTGGAGAGTTATTGAAAAATTTTAAGTTGGGGAGAGAGATAATTAGTTCTTTATTTTAGTATTATCATCTTTGGCTATAGATGGAATATGGACGCAAGGGGCCATGAGTGGAAGTTGGAAGACAGAGTTCATCAAGGTAGGGAGGAAATCAATGGTATGGTTTAGGGGTTGGGATAAGTGGTGGTGTCAGTGGGACAGAGAGAGGGGCAAAACTGCCAGATGTTTGGGCGGTAGAATGCACAGAACTTGGTGACAGGTGGGCATGGGGAATAAGGGAGAAGGAGGACTTTTTTTTTTTCATTGTTTTCCATCTTATTTATTTATTTTGGTTGTTCAAAACATTACAAAGCTCATGACATATCAKCKTTCATACATTWGATTCAAGTGGGTTATGAACTCCCATTTTTACCCCAAATACAAGTTGCAGAATCACATCGGTTACACATCCACATTTTTACATAATGCCATATTAGTGTCTGTTGTATTCTGCTACCTTTCCTATCCCCTACGATCCCCCCTCCCCTTCCCTCTCTCACTTCCCTCTCTACCCCATCAGCTGTTATTCAATTCTCTTCTTTTTTTCCCCCTTTCCCCTCACAAACTCTTATATGTAATTTTGTGTAACAATGAGGGTCTTCAGGACTTTGCAGTTAGTATAAACGCGAGGGTGAGGGTACCCTTTAGAGTGACGGATAACCACTCCGGAGCTGCAGGTCAGGTCCGCCTCCACCTTGTCCCTCGCGTGACGCCATCCGGGTAGCCCGCGGTTTGGTCGGGGACGGGCGCCCGCGCCACGGTTCCGGTTCCGGTTCCAGCTGTGACTGGAGTCTTCACCTGCGGCCACGGGGAGAGGCCACTGGGAGCAGCCATGGCGTACTCCACAGTGCAGAGAGTGGCCCTGGCCTCGGGGCTCATCCTGGCTGTGTCTCTGCTGCTGCCCAAGGCCTTCCTGTCTCGCGGAAAGCGGCAGGAGCCGCCGCCAGCTCCCGAAGGTAAGAACCAGTTAATTCCCCGTGAGCCGCCGGGCGAGGACCGCCAGTGCTGCTTGAGCGAGGTGACGCTAGGAGTCTCCGGCCTTCGCCCAGATATCTGTCAAACCCTTCAGAGAGGGTAGGCAAGACGGCGTGTGGCCGGTTCTCTGGGCCTCAGCGGGCGGCAGCCCAGTTCCACCTGCCCCCGGGAACCCCCAGTGGGTCTTCCACACGCGTGGCCAGGAATGCACACATGCCGGGTTCCCTTCCCGGGGGCCTCGCACGCGGTAGTTTGCTTGCAGATCCTTCGTTTTTCACTCAGTGGCTTGCTCAACTCAGTTTATCATCATCTGTTCACGAGCTTTGTTTGGGTCAGTAGGGTTTCCTTTAGGGTTTGTGTTCTTTGTCGTGCTTTCGTAGAAAATAAATTAGTTGGAATCGGTGGTTTTTAACGTGATGTTGAGCGCTGTTTTTGTGCTTTTAAAGATAGAACTTGAAGATTTTAATAAATCAAGTATCACTTCCTGAGGAGTAGATTAGCAAAATACTACGTCTCCTGTACTTAAATATCTGTTAATTCTTTGTTATTGGCATGATTGTGATATTTAAAAATCCGCCTTTTTAAATGCATTTGGGGGCTCTACAGAATCAATGTAAAGGCGTATATGCTGAAGGCTGGGAGAAGGAACCAAAACAAGTCTCCTTAGGTCATAAAGTTCTGCCGGTAACTTTTTCTTGTAAATCATCCCAGTAAAATCCTTGAGACATGATTTTAAAGTCTCTGAACACTTTCTCTAATGTTTAACTTGTTGATTGCTGGACAGTTCCTTTTGAACTGTAATCCCCTTCACTCTAATTTGTGCATGTTGGCTGTAGTTCCATCTTCCCACAAGCATCATTACAAATACTGTGCGTGCATAGCACTTAGCTCCAGGAGTGAAGGGCATGATTTTGTTAACAGAATCTTTTTGATAGTCTTCATGCTTATAAGACTATGCCTATACTAGACTTCTGAAACATCTTTTCATATTTGATATTTTTTTTTTGTCTTTATTGCAAAATTCAAACTGTATCCAGTAACCTTGTCTGCTTAGAAGAAGAGTAAATTCATGATGACCCTGAGCAATGAAGATTCTTCTAAAATACTTGTTTTTACTGGGTTGGATTCCCATTATGGCAAATTATCTTTTGCAGGGGGAGGGGGTACTAGTGATTGAACACAGGGGCATTCAACCACTGAGCCACATCCCCAGCCCTTTTTGTATTTAGATTCAGGGTCTCACTGAGTTGCTTAGGGCCTCGATGAGTTGCTGAGGCTGGTTTTGAATTCGTGACCCTCCTGCTTCAGCCTCCAGAGTTGCTGGAATTAAGGCATGCACCACCAGGCCTGGCTGGTGAATTATCTTGAACAAGTATTATCGCATGTGAGTGGGAAACACTCTTCTGAATGTAATAGAGAGTCTAGAGTGGAAATTAGATATGGCTTCTTCCCCTAAGAACTCTAGTGCTGGTATCTTAAGATCTTTGCACTTTCTGTTCTTTTTATTCCTGAAGTAAGCTCTTCCCTTAGCTTACTTCTTATCATTCAAGTTTCTGCTTAGATTTAACCTCTTTAAAGAGATCTTCCCTGATGACCCCAGATAAAGTAACTCTCTTTCCCTATTGTTTCCTATTTTATTATGCTTTTTTTCTCCCATATAACAGACATATATGTGAGATGAAAGTTTCTTATTTGTTTACTTGGTTTTTTTTCTTCCTTTTAAAATGTAAACTTTGCAAAGGTAGAGATTTTATCTTATTCATTTACTACTAGCACCTGGCTGTAGTGGGAAGTCAATAAAAACATCTAAATGAATGTTTAAGATTGTGAAGCTACTAGTATTGTCAGTTTTCATTTTATATTAAAAACTACTAAGTAAAATTGACTAGGTAAAAAAACTACCTTGAATGATACATGCTAGTATCTGAGGTTTGCTACCTAAACATTTCTTTCCTAGTACATTAACATTTTTTAAAGCAATGAATCCTAATTATTTTTGGGTTACATAAAATCTGATGAAAGCTATGTATTTTCTCTCTAGAAAAAAAATGTGTACTATTTATACATACACACAAAACTTTATCAATTCAGAGAATTCAAAGACCTGGAAGTCCTTGCTTTGAAGAAAGGGACAGTCCCAATTATTTGGAAATTAATAAAATTTGTTTCATTGTACTTTCATTTTTGTCTGCTGTGTGTAAAAAAAAATACAGTCCCCTTTCCACATGACAGCCTTTAAGGATGTTTTAACAAATATTATGATGTATGCTATCACATAGTATACACACAATGTACATAATAACACTGTGCATTTCAAGAAAAATGAGGCAAATCCTTACCTCAAGGAACCTAAAGTTTAGTATAAGAAAATAGACATGGCATCAATTCAAATCTACATGGGGAAGATACATATGTGTAAGGGTCCGTTTTATTGGGTTTTAACAAAAGTCTCATAGAAGAGGAAAGGKTTTTTTTGTTGTTGTTGTTGTTGTTTTGTAACAGCATTCTTGAGATCTAATTCACATATGCAATTTGCCTATTTAAAGTGTATGAGTTAGTATATTCATAGAATTGTGCAACCATCACTCATCACCATAATCAATTTTAGAATATTTCATCATCCCTAAAGATTTCCTATACCTTTTGGCCATAGTTCCCCAACTTCTCTGTTGCTCTGTCTCCAGCCTTGAGCAATCACTAATCTACTTCATGTCTCTGTTAATTTGCCTATGATATTTTGTAACTGGCTTTTTTAACCTAACATGTTTTCAGGGTTCCTCAATGTAGTATATATTGGTACCTTAGAATTGACAGTTCCCCCCTATTTAACTCATAGTCATCTTCTTTGATAGAGAGCATATAAGTGAAGAGTAAGAAGTTCTGCTTTCTCAGCAATTACATTTTATTATGGGGCAAATTGAACTTTTTCTCTGAACATCACTAAAAATACCTCTTTTGCTAGCCTTTTTCTAAATCTTAGTTTATTTTGGACCTTGGCCTTCTCTTGTAGCTTTTCCAAGTCTTGTCACTTTTTTGTGCTGGGATGGGAGCCTTTTGTGTTTTGTGTTATGTGTTTTTCTGTTCAACATTTTCTGTGCTTTTACAGGAATTATCTGTAAAAGCACAGAAAATGTGCTTTATTTCCCCCCTTTTCCTATCTGTTTGAAAATTTTTGAAATACCCAATCAGAAGTGCATTTTAAAAGTTTTCCTCTTAAGAGTTTCTTGCCATGGAATGTCTTGTTTTCAACACTTTCATCTGCCTTCCCAGACCCTATTCCACACAACTCCTACCTTTGTTGCTACAAATACTAAGATGGCATGGTTTCATTCTCTTAAGGTCCTCCTTTCATTTTATCAACCATTTTGCTCAGAGTAGCAGTTCCTCTGCTTAGCATATATACCTTGAGTGGAATATAAGTATGTCAGCATGTTAAGTCAAAAACTTGTCACTTGTTCCAGGGTTAGCTGAATGAGACTTTGAATAGGTACCAGGGTAGTTGAGGTCTTCCAAGATGAGAGTATGCTGCTTTTATGTTATAGTTGGCTTCAGGAGAGTCCTATCTACCACCTGCACTGGGATGGGAGCCTTTTGTGTTCCCATAATCACATATCTTGGCATCCCTCCTGTTCATGTTTTCCTGTGAGCACCTCACTTTGAACACTTAGAGTTCCTTTTCTATCACTTTCCAGTGGCCTTGTTCTCCTGGAATAGCTCATACTCTTGTCACTATGTTCTTATCAAGTGAATCCTATGTTACTGAGTTTTGATCTCTCTGAGCTATGGAAATACAAAGGCACACTTATGTATATGTGTTCATACATATATAATAGCACATATACATAATTTTTTGTTGTCTTAAATTAACTCCCTATATATTGGCCAATAAGTGCCTGAGAACAAATGTATTTTTTTTTAAATGTATTATTTTGGTGCCTTAACATTTCTTTTTTCCTAGTGAAACATCAGATCTACTCTAAAGGAAAGTTCAAAGGAGAAAGAAATTAGAAAATTATTTTGATTTCAAACAGTCATTTTCCTCTTAATATATTATGTAAATGAAGAGAAAACAGTGGGAGCAGTTTGAGAACTTGTAAATACATTAAATTAGGCATTTTTTTCCAAGAGAATAGTAATGATCAGTAATCCCCATTGCCATTTTCTTTTCTAGAAATTGCAAAATTGAAAACTGGCAGCATAATGAGGTCAAACAAACAACAACAAAAGAATTATTTTTTAGCCCTGCAAGTGACTAGGTTGGATCTTGAGGCAACAGTATTATTTATCCAGTCCAGTTCAACAAATTCAACATGCAAGACCCAAAGTATGCCCTGTGGGAGAAACCCAAACATAATTAAAACACTAAACTTTTATTCAATAAGTTCTTAGTTCATTTTTGTCCTCTGACTAGAGACTACCAGGAACATACCTATAGTTGAACGTTTTGGGTTTAGTATTTGTTGCAGTAAGGGAAAATGCAAACCATTGAGAATTATTTCAGTAAGACAGTTTTAGGAAAAACCTTACAAGATTTAGGCTTGTTAGGTGAGTTTGAGAAAGATTGGGGCTTTGCTCTAAATTGGATGAAGTGGGCCAAATTCTGTGACTGGGTATCTTTTTAAGTGTTTTTTATTAGTGCATTATAGTTTTAYGTAACAGTTGAATTCATTTTGAGATAATCATGTATGCATGGTACCTCTTCTTTCTCGCCCCCTCCTCCATTCCCCTGTTTTCCTTCTTCTACCTGGGGAGATGGGAAAGAAAAGAGGAGAAAATGTGGAATAAATTCAACAAAATTATACTACATGCATGTAAAAATATACTGCAGTGAATTTCATCTTTGTGTGTTTTTATAAAGCACCAATTAAAAATAAATAAATAGAAGGAAGACCAATAGAGTAGAGGATGAGTATCTTAATAGGATTTGTCTTAAGGGAGGATAGACTAGAAAAAGGCTAAAGCTATAATTGAAGAAGTGACA